AGAGCTTCCTGAGATTTGGGAAATGCTGCCTTATAATCAGTAAATGTGGGGAATGCTGCCCTAGGTTGTGTCTATTGAAAATCGTTAGACAAGTTCAGTACCTGAAGACACTTTCCTGCTTACTCAACTTCTGTATCGCCACAAGGAGTTAGTACATTCGTTAGCAAGTAAGAGTAACACCACCTGGCTGCTGTATAATTCTGAAGTGAGTTATTCATTAGAATGCAGGAGAAAGAATGGTGTCTCTAAAAAGCCTTAAGCCAAACTGACTTTTTCCACTTTTTTTTTTTTTTTTTTTTTTTTGAGACTGAGTCTCACTGTATTGCCCAGTCTGGAGTGCAATGGCACAATCTTGTCTCATTGCAACCTCTGCCTCCCGGGTTCAAGCCATTCTCTGGCTTCAGCTTCCCTCGTAGGTGGGATTACAGGCGCACACCACCACATCCAGCTTATTTTTGTATTTTTAGTAGAGATGGGGGTTTCACCATGTTGGCCAGCTGGTCTTGAACCCCTGACTGCAAGTGATCTGCCCACCTCAGCCTCCCAAAGTGCTGGGATTACAGGTGTGAACCACCACACCTGGCCTCTTTTCACTTTTATCTGTTTTAATTTCAAAAACCACTCTGCCTTTCATAAGCTCCCAACACTTTGTACCTATCTCACCTTTGGCACCTATCACATTACCTCACAGCTGTTTTCTTAGTATCTATCTCCTGGGCCCTCAGTTCACCCACACCCATTCACACGTTACTGCCGGTAATAGGCACACATTGTATTCTGAGACCCTGGGAACAAAATAGGTTTGTTTCAATACACCCGCCCAAGCAAAATATCAGCTACATCGTGGGCACTCAATAGACAGTGGCTACATGGGTAATGGATGGACACACACCAACTCTTCCTCCTATGATATTAGAACGGAGTTAAATTGTACACTTCTCAGAAGCACAAGATGCTAACCTTTGAGAGGCAAGAAGAGTAATGGTTAATATAAAGAGGTCGAAATTCTAGCTCCCTTTACAAGCTATGGGTCCTTAGGCAAATTACTCAACCCTTCAAGGTCTCCATTTCTTTTATTTATTTAATTTTTTCTTGAGATGGAGTTGTGCTCTTATTGCCCAGTTTGGAGTGCAATGGCATGATCTTGGCTCACCGCAAACTCCACCTCCCAGATTCAAGCGATTCTCCTGTCTCAGCCTCCAGAGTAGCTGGGATTACAGGCATGCGCCATCACACCCAGCTAATTTTGTATTTTCAGTAGAGACAGAGTTTCTCCATTTTGGTCAGGCTGGTCTTGAACTCCCGACCTCAGGTGATCTGCCCACCTCAGCCTCCTAAAGTGCTGGGATTACAGGTGTCAGCCACCGCACCTGGCTTCCATTTCTCTATCTGTAAGTTAGAAATCATACTTGCCTCTTCAGGTTGCTATGAGATCATGTGTGAGAGTTACCAACATATTCTTGGCACCTAGATGCGCTTTATTGATCTCTTACTATTAGTTTCTTGATGTGGAGGATGCCAATAGGAAAAAAAAAAAATTCCACCGTAAATCTCACCAATTAGAGACTCATTTTAATGAGTAAGCTCCAGGGAAGGCTAAGTGATGGCACCTCAGTGGGAATTATTTTAATCAGCTAATCAGATTGTTTTCTTCTTGACTCTAAGCTGAAATCAAGGAGAGAATGAGAATTTTGGTGGCAGAATCACGAGACAGAAAAAGAGGATAGCCAGAATGGGATGAGAGGCCAGTGGGGGCCTGGAAGCCAGAAAACAGCTTGAGGGTTTTGGCCTTTGGTGGCCAAACAGGAGGGGTATTAAAGAAAACTGTCTGGTGTACTTTCACCAGCCCCAAAGTGCCACTGTCTCTTGCACTATTCTTTGAACCCTGGGCTAGATGCAATCAGGAGAGTGTCTCTTTCCCTGGAAAGGAGATGATGTGGTTTGTCACACAAAAATCCCTGAGGAGCACCTGGTTTTCTCCTTTCCCCTGGTATCTACCCACTTCCATCTCTTTTCTAACAACTACCCCTCCTCACCTAACACTCCCCTATAGCAGGGTGTGTAACAACCTACATTCCAATGCTCTGTCTGCCTGTACTAGCCCTGTGACCTTGGACAAAGTGGTTATTCTCTCTAAGCTTTTAGGTTCTTCCCTGACAATAAAGATAATCCTCTGTCAGAGGATATAATTGGCAATAGAGGCAATGCATATAAAGTGCTTTGCAGAACACCAGGAACTTAGTAAGCATTCAATAAAGATTAGCTCTTATTATGACAGATTACATCAGAGGCCATTTATTATTTCAGAATATGTTTTCATGCTTGGGCCTTGCTCTGGGAGCTGGGGATGCAGCAGTGAACAAGTAACTCTTCCTGCTCCTGTTGGTGTTGGTTAAGTAACAGTCACTCCATCTCCTACCACCTACCAAGTAAGGGTATAACTTGTCTTCAAAAACCTCTAGGAACTCATACAATAAAAACAAATTCAGTTTTCAAAATCTGAAGTTTCAAAGTTATAGAAATTTCTGGAATGGGTCATGTGGGTTGGTAACACATGTACAGTAAATTCTTAATAAATGTTAATTCCTATTAACAATATTAGGATATCATGATGATCTCTAGTATTCTATTGAAGAGTGTCTTGCTTCTCCAGTTATCATGTAAATTCTTTAAGGATAGGCCCTATAGTACATTTTGTAAAACCTCTCAACACACATGACATACACTCCTAAAAACCAAGTACAGGTATTGATCGACTTACGACCTATGCAACTTACGACCATTCAACTTTACGACCACAATCGCTAGCCACGACTGCTCCGTGTCTGGCAGCGGAAACATTGCCCAGCTGGGCGTACGACAGTGTGGACCAGTTTCTGGCAGCACTACCATCTCCGCGTGCACCATTTCAACTGTACATATAGCCTACTCAACTTATGACCAAATCGTGTTACGACCGTTCCGCGGTCCCGACTGTGGTCTTAAGTCGAGCACTACATGTACTAAGAGCTTCACAGGTATTTGCTTTACAAGTGCATGAATAAATGAATGAATATCCAGCAAACACTGAAGTTTGCTGTTGTCTTAACTATCCGTTTTCACCTACACTAGCCCAAAACACACATAAACAAACATGTGCTCACAATTATGCCAAAAAGTGTTTCTTTACCCAATTTAAGACATTAACTGCTGAGAAGATATAATGTTGAAATAAAATTTATTATACAAATTCAACTTCTTCAAGAAGCTTTTACAGTATACAACCGTCCTATGTAATGAACAAAACCATCTTTTATTCTCCTGGTTCCCCTAAATCATTGTGACATTATGACTCTTTAGATCAGAATTCTTACATCTCAATTTTTTAAAAGCTTTTTATTCTCATGATTCCTATAAATTCATATTGTTTTCATTTATACAGAGCCAATTGGTCAAACTAAAAGACAGACAGTAAATCCAAAACCAAATGAACAAATTCTTCACTAGTTTTAACTTTTCATTGTTGCTTTTAAACAAAAAATCATTGGTCAGGGTTTCTCAAAACAGTCTGGAGATGACCAAACATAGGAATAAAATGAGATGCAAAAAAAGAAACAAATCCAAGAGGAAGAAGTTATTACTGGCAAGGTAGGACAGACGATCTTTTAGGACCTTGCTTTATTGGGATAAAATGAACAGTGAAGTGCTTTGATCATATAAGAAAATGTTTGGATGAGAAACTCCAGACAAAGGGATAGCACTATCATTAGGCACAGTCATTTGTTCAGTATCTGTTTTCTTGTTGAGAAGCTACTTTAGAAGCTACTGTACCATTTTTCATTCTTTCTTCCTCTTAAATGGCCACTGGGCCTGTTCAGGAGGGGTATTGTGAATACCCAGCTACAGCCAGAGACACAAAGCTCGGGTTTCTCTCTGAGTACTATGCTCCCCAAGAAAGGCAGCCCCCACAGGCAAGAAGCTGGTAACCACACAAAGCCTTGCGGTCCATGAGTGGCCTTTGGTGGACAATTTAAAAGTGACAATCTCCCTGACACAACTTCCTGGCTTAATTAGGCTATGTAAAATTTTAAAAATAAGTAGAAATATTCTAAAATATAAATGATATTACCTAAATTCCTGACTGTAAGCATTACTCAGAGGATGTTATGGAACTTGAAACACAGGTACAGATAGATACATGAAGTCAAAAGCATCCTCATGAATTCTAAGTAGTAGAGAGAATCCAGCCCTCTTCCCCACCTTTTGGTTTCTGGGATGTGGGTGGGGAGGGAGAGTGCTGAAGGCAGTCACATTGGCACAGACTTATTTTATACAGATTCCCATAGGTGTTTCAGAGCATTTCCAAGCTTTACAACCCGAAGCCAGAAAGATTTTTACTTTGGAGGTACATTTTGTGAAAAATGTGTTCTTAGCTTATTTCTTGAGTGATGAACTCTCTACTGGGTGGAGGGCTTCAGAGATACAGTTTTGGCACAATGCATGCATCGGGCAGTCACCAAAGTTATTTTGCCACCAGCTAAGCATCTATGAGTAAGTACATCACTTAACCACAAGGAGAGTTACTTGCCTCCTGAGTTTGAACTTCACCAGTGATTCTCAAATCTTGGTATGTATAGGAGTGTTTATTTAAAAATGAAGATTTTATGGACCAAAGAGTCAAAGATTCTGACTCAGTAGGTATAATAAGAAGGATTCAGAAATCTACATCTTTAATGAATATCCCACTGTGGACCACACTTTGAGAATCTCTAGTCTAATTGATTTGGAAGATCACTTCCAGCATTAACATTCTAACATTCTGTGAATTTGTCCTTTCTTTAGCAACCAATCTCAGATAGCCTGACACTCCCTCGATGTCCATCTGCCGTGTGGGAACAATGGTACACAGGGAGCAGGAGCGCCAACAGCTACTCTAGGCAGCATAGGAAAGATGATAGGGCCAGTTGGGTTGTTATTCCTTCACTGGGGTAAAAACTAACATCCTTGTCTCTGACACCCAGGTGACAGGTGGAGTCTGGAATTTCAGTCGCATTTGCTGCGATGTTTTTGTCACCCTGGATGTCATGATGTGTACAGCCAGCATCCTGAACCTCTGCGCCATCAGCATAGACAGGTAGGGTTGCAATTCGCCCTCCAGGTGGCCCAAAAGCTGGGGAAGTGGAGAGAGACAGGTTTTGCATTTGAGGGTACTGGGGTAACCTCCAAGTAGAACTTGACACTGGAACATTTTCTTTCTTTTTCTTTTAAGTATGGTTTGCAGGTGAGAAGAAACCCCTGCGACAAGAGGGAAATAATAACCCTATAAGCTTTGCTAGGCTTTCTTCTCCTCCAGCTCCCTGAAAAGGATTCTGGTGCTGCTTTTCCACCATCCTTTGGGGTCTTTATTGCTTTCTAACAGGAAGGCAAGGAGCGGGGCAGAAGGAGGAAAGGTGAGCTGACTGGGGTTCGTAGGAAATTCTGTTATTGTTTTGTTTGTTTTTGTTGAAGGGATAAAGTGAGGGGGTGGGTATAGGGCTAATTTTTGAGGGCAAGAGGGGAGAGAAGTGGGGGAGAAAGGCAATTTTAGAAAGCATGGATGTGATCCATATGTTTCTCTCATAGAGCTTGGAGAAGGAAGTGAAGAACAGTATCTTATTTAAAATTACACTTTGTTTGCTGGGATGAACTGCTATGATGTTCACTCCTCTCTCTGCCTGAGTAACATCGCTTTCTATCCCTGAGAGCACCTGGACTCACCACCCTTGCTCTGGGTCCCTCTGTTTCTCCCTGTCCCTCTCCTTTTCCCTTTCCTCTCCCTGAGCCTCAGATTTGCCATGGCTCCCCCAGGACATCACCAGCCCCACTGAGAGCCCTGGGGAAAGGTCACTTTTAAGCCTATGGCCCTTGACACCCATCAAGAGCCACCTCCTTTTCCTCCTCTGAGTTCTCTCTCCCCCACTTCCCCTTCCACTTCTTCCCCCCCAATAATATCCATCCACCTCATAGCTCCACAGGCGACCCCAAATAAGATCTGCCATTTATTGAGAATTTATCTCATTGGGCTAAGCTTTGACACACATTAACTCATTTCATTTTCACAATTCTTAGGTACTGTCATTATCTTCCATTTCCAACTTCTTAGAGTACTTAAGGAATTTGACAAGGCCACACCACTAGCACAGGGCCACGTCAGGATTCGAATTCATGTCCATTTGACTTGAAGTAAATCATCTTAAGCTTTGTGCTAATCTCCCTAAATCTCCAACTACATTTATGCCTTCTCCCCCGAGTTCCAGATCACATTACTGCCTGGATATTCCACTTGTTCCTATTATGCCAAAATAGTTGTTAAAAACCAAACCGTTAAAGCACCAAATCATCTTGACGTGGTCATCTCTTATTGACAGCATCTTTCTCCTGGAATCTTGTGTTTTGTTTGACTCCTTTCTCTTCCTAATCTTTCATATTCAAGAGGTTGGTGTTTATAGACCCTATTTTTGCCTTTTTTTTTTTTCCAGATTTTTCTCTGCCTTGTCTTTCTTGCTGCCTTCTACTTATTTGAAGATCCTATGACCCGTTACCTAAATTCTGCTGCACTTTCTAACTGGTCCTTCATATCACTGTCAAAATTGTTCCCCCAAAAGTAAAGCCCCAATAGCCATTCCCCCACTCAAAATCCCTCAGTGTCACCTTGGCCTACTGGATGAAAGTTAGAATTACCTCCACAGCCTGGCATTCAGTGTTTGCCACAATATGGCCTCAAGCAATCCTTTCTTCCTTCCTTCTTTCCTTCCTTCCTTTCTTCCTTTTCCTTTCTTTCTTTTTTCTTTCTCTTCTCTCTCTCTCTCTCTCTCTCTCTCTCTCTCTCTCTCTCTTTCTTTCTTTAGTTCTCTCTCTCTCTTTCTTTGTTATTGTTTTGAGTCAGAATCTGGCTCTGTCTGGAGTGCAGTGGTACAGTCTCAGCTCCCTGCAAACTCTGCCTCCCGGGTTCAAGCAATTCTCCATCCTCTGCCTCCTGAGTATCTGGAATTACACGCGCCCACCACCCTGTCTGGCTAATTTTTGCATTTTTAGTAGAGATGGGTTTTCACCATGTTGGCCAGGCTGGTCTCAAACTCCTGGCCTCAAACAATCTACCTGCTTCAGCCTCCCAAATTGCTGGGATTACAGGAGCGAGCCCCCATGCCCAGCCTCAATCCCCTTTTCATCTCTTCCCAGGTCACCCCATATCCTCATTCTCCAAGATCTATCACAGTGGTCCTCTTTTCCATAAAGCCCTTTCACAGTCCCACAGTCTGATTCAGTCACCCTTGAACCCTCATAATGCTTTCTATGCTTTCTCTGTCACTATGTTGTGGCATCTCCAGCCTGCCTTTTCTAGAGGTCCAAGCACAGGCCCCCCTCAATGGTGTTGTGCCCTCTATAGCAACAGCCTCGCACTTTGTTTTATGTGCTGAAATGGGAAGTTTGAAGAATAATTAAAAAAATGAATATGAAAACACTTTCCTCGGTGATCCTGCAACCCAATCAGCCAACTGGATGATTTTTTTTATTTATATCACTTGGTTGGCTATCCAACTGAGAGGAAAACTAAAGAACATGTCCACAATGCTGAAAATAATACCACTAAAGAGTGTGCTTAAAATAGGGCGATCCAGGTGCAGTAGCATGTGCCTGTAATCCCAGTTACTTGGGAGGCTAAGGTGGGAGGATTGCTTGAGGTCAGGAACTTGAGGCCAGCCTGGACAGCATAGCAAGTCCTCATCTCTGCAACAACAACAACAAAAAAGTATAGGAATATAACTGCATAATTCTGTAAACGTACTGATATAACATTGAACTACACCCTTTGAGTGGATGAATTGCATGGTATGTGAGTTATATTTTAATAGAGCCGTGTAAAAAAAGTGAAGAGTTGGGGATTTTACAATATTTTTAGCTCTAACAGCTAAGTTTTTTGTGTAATTTCTAGACATTAAGTACACATTTTCAGGAATACGTTATTTACAGAAGTAGACTACAGCTGGTTTGCTTCACCATCACCACCCGAAAGCCTTCTATAAGACCTGGCTCCTGATCACCTGCGACCCTCTCTGCTATGCCCATTACAGAGCTTTGAACAAAGAGTATTCCAGCTGAATTCAGTGGTCCCTGCTTGAAGGTAGCCAACGTTTATACCATAAAGTAGGCACTTTTGGAAAGGACATGAGAGAATGGGAGAGAGTTTGCTTTGTGAAGGAGGGAGAAGAACTGTAAAAAGAGAGCCCCCTTAGCACTCCTAGTTCCTGAGTCTCCTCTCTTTCCTCTTGAGAATGTGCCTATACACTTCACCCACACATATTCACAGGCACTTGGGGCTGTGGATGAGATTGTGAAGGTTGTTCCCTCCGCAAGGGTGTGGGAAAGAAATTCAGCCATCACTCCTTCTTCCAGGAGAGGGTGCCTTTCTCTAATTTGCACAAGAGCACCATTTTGCTGGCAGCAGCCATGCTTAACACACACTTCTAGTTTTTACCACTTAAAGTGCAACCAACAAGAGTAACTTTGAATTGACTTCTGTCCCATATGGGAAAACTCCGAGAACATACAGCACTTACCTACCTGAAGGGACCAGACACACCTTAGCTCTCAAGCAAAAAGGAAGCTCCCTTCTTGGTTCATATTTCTATATGAGCCAAAGAATCCTCACCAAAACTCAAAATGGAGCCCCCTCCTATTCTAGAAATGAAAACAGGCCTTGGAAAAGCTGGATTTATTATTCTTCACAGCAGTTTGCAGTACATAGCATTAAATTCTGTTCGTGGGATGACAAATAGCTGGTCAATTCATTAAAAATGCAGTCATTCACACAGACCTTTGGTCTTCACACAATGCCAGTCACCAATCTAACAAACTTAACCAAATGGATTCAGTATTTTTTGGTCATGAAGCCCTGGTCTGTAATAACAGTGTGGAAAGAGATACGAAAGAAAAGGAAATGATAAAAGGGTTTTTGAAAGCAAGTAATACTATTGTCATTAGATTCTTAGGCATAGCTCTGATGCTTGGATTAATGCTGCCTTTTCTTTTTTAAAAAGCAGAGTGGGAAGTCCTCTGAGCACAAGCCCCCACTCCTTTAGCTCCCTGCCTCTCCAGGGGGCCAGCCCCCCTCCCATCTCATCCTGGGTCCAAACTAACTCAGGGAGAGGGCTGAGAATGTGTCAGAAGAGGAGGACACAACCAAGTGGTGAGAATTAGAGTCCTCCGATAGGAGCCCAGGAATAATGCAGCCAAATTCATTCACCAGGGAGTTCTTTAAGTGGCTCTCAAATGGCACCCATCACACAGGCAAGCCTCCGCGTCTTTGCAGCGAGCACAATAGGTACCAGATGAGTCACAGGCACCTTGGATTTTTAGTTTGCATCTAAATAAGCACTTTATATTTGCAAAAGGCTTTCCAGTGATTTGCAAAAAGCTTTCTCCTTCAACAATTCCAGGAGGGGAGTCCACAGAACTAAAGATTTATTGAGCCCCCTGTCTGACCAAATAAAAGGTGGTGAAAAGCAGCCCTCACAGAACTCTGGGGCTCATTAAACCCAGGCGGGGAGTTAGAGTCAGGCCTTCCCACCCAGGCTGGCCTCTTTCCTCCTGGACTGCTAGCTTCCTAAAGAGCAACACTTGTCAGTACACACACACACACACACACACACACACACACACACACCCCTCCCACCCTGGGACAGGGCTCTGAGATAGAAATCAAATTCTGTGAGGTACTGAGACCTTCAGTAAGTGGCAAGCCATATAGATCCCGCTCAAAGAACCAGAAGCCAGACGGGGCATCGCGGTCATCTCATTTGATGAGAAATGCTAACCGCTTGCCTGAAGTCCTGCAGCCTGTTAGCACACGTGTGGGACTAGAAATGGAATCTCCTGACTTTCCACCAGCACTCTATTACAATAAGTGATACCTTCATTGGTGAAGGTGAGGATGGCGCACCAAGGCAGGGGCTTCTGGCCACGCTGGCAGCTCATCTCTAGAGATGCAATTTTCTTGTACTAAATGAGACACATTTCCTATGTCCTCAATGCACTGGCTATCTTCCGTGTAATGCTAACTTACATGAGTCTAGAAGCAACAACAGTAAAAATAGC